AGGCCACCTGGGCTACATAGCAAGATTCCTGTTCAAAAAAACCCAAAAACCAATAGGAATATCTTCTATAAGCTAATGAAGTTTAACAAATATGAAACAAGTAGATTAATTAATACCTCCCAGTACAGGATCATTTGGTATAACATCTATAACAGTTGCAAAATAACCAAATAAATTCTTCTCAATATTATGGTCAATGCTTAAAAATTCAATTTCATAGCCAAGAGTTATTGTGAAGCCCTTGCTGCTTTTAAACAACCCCATGTCAAATGTGGAAGCAGTAACTCCAAGAGAATAATCATCTTTAAGTTAAATAATTTAAGTTGAGTTGAAAAAGGTAAACTCTATTCAAGTCTAAATATGCCAAAATTTCGGTGCTTTGTGATAAGCAGCACAGGACATTTGTTTAAACATTACCTGTATACTTTGCCAAGATAGCTAATCTTTTTGGGTACCTTACATACCAAATTCATTAACAATCAATTTTCATAACATTACTTTCTTTCTATGAACATTATTCTCTGTGCCTATGATTAGTCTCAAAAACTTTCTTTCCAGGTTTCCTTATCTCATCCTCCAGGAAGAACTACTCTGCTAAAGATCACCTCTCATGCCTCCAAAGCTATCAGGCAAAAGTGTTAGGAAGAAGGTTGGTTCCAGTCTGAACTTCCACTTCTGTCAGGTAAATACCCACAACTGTCAAAGTCAGGGCAAAATGTTCATTTTTCTCCATAGATACAAACAAGAGATCTTTAATTAATCCATCTTACTTTGGAGCCACTTTCATTAGAAAATTTAACATAAGTAGTCAACATGGCTAGAAAAAATTTATATAATGTGAGGCCATATAAGATGTTCCCAAGATCTAGCTTGAATTTTTCAACAGATATTCTTCCAACTGTCCACAAACTAATGTTAAAATACACTAAATGAAAAGTACTAGAAAAACTACACTCTATTTACAGATGCTCTCAGATCTTTACCCATTCTACCCATCACCAATTTTAACTCAAATTGTTCTCTTACCAGTATATGTAGTAGTACTCGTGCATGCTATACAGTTCCAATTCAAAAGCACTTAGGAGATACTGTATCATAATTCGAAGGTTATGGTAAAGGACCCAGGTTCCTAAACAGGCCAAATGCTGCCTTTGAGGTTCCTGTTTCACAACAGATAGTGTGAAGCGCTGATCAACCTTCTCTGCTATCAAAATAAAATGTCAACAAATTGAGACTTTTTTAGGCAATGAAAGAAATTTAAATATAGAGAATGTTTAAATTTCACTGCTCAAAGGACTCTTACTTTCAAATGCATTTTTTTGGGTAAGTTTCATGCAAAAGTCTTCTTTCACAATAGTTAACCTAATCACTCTTAAAGAGACATCTTTAGGCAATGAAAGAAATTTAAAAATATACAGAAATGTTAAATTCACTGCTCAAGGACTCCTACTTTCAAATGCATTTTTTTGGGTAAGTTTACATGCAAAAGTCTTCTTTCACAATAGTTAACCAATCACTCCTTAAAGAGACATCCATTTTAAGTAATAAGATACAAATAATCTTAACCATGCACAGTGGTACAGGCTTTAATCCAACTACTTAGGAGACTGAAGCAGGAGTTTAAGGGTATGAAACCAACCTAGGCAACGTGGAGACTGTGTCAAAACAGAATGCAAACAAAAACCCTGAAATAACTGACTTGAGGTCTTTATCTTACTATTATCAATAATTCGGCAACTTCTCACAAAATGACAAAATAATATATTTTTTATTAGAATAGTGTATTTACCATGAAACTACAGTTTATATGTACTTCATAATTTGCCCTGATTATCAAGAAATAATTTAAGATGTTTATCGGTTTGGATTATTGTTCTGATTCTTCTTATAAACTCTTCCTTTAGTATATGAAACTTAAATTGTAAAGTGAAAAGTAAGCTCATCTCATAGTGAAAAATCAAATAAAATATTGTTTTGGAAAAAATCTAGATAATTAAGATGAATTGTGGATGAGTGGTTTTTTTGGTTTGTTTTTGAGACAGGGACTTATTGTATCCCAGGCTGGCTTGAAATCCACTTGCCTCAGATGCTGAATACTGGGATTATAGGTGTGTGCCACCACATCCAGCTGTGAATTGTTTAATTATAGAAAAGAAGGCAGTTTAGCTCTTACCTCATCCTGTAAGGTAAGCAAATTCCTCAAGAATATGACCAAGCTTATCTCTCTGTCGAGCTCTGTTATGTCCGTGGATCTGAATAAGACTGCAGAACGGCTGTAATACACGGTACAATTGTTAATATTCAGTGTTAAATTTTCCTCATCCTAAAGAAACAACATTCCAAATTCTCAAAAATCTGGCTGAAGAGAAAAAATAATGCTATATGTAAGAATCATGCTATGCGTATTTTAAATAGGTGCTTGTTTATAAGGAACTCAAACCAGAATTTGTCAATAACTAGAAAAAAGTGGCTGTTTTAAAACTTTTTATATGGCAAAAGTATTTTCCTTCAATCTTTAGATGTCTTTCTATAATTGTAAAATCGTCATCTTAGAATGACAATTTCTTTTCTAAGACAAAAGCCAAATATGTGTGTGTGAGAATTAAGAATGACTTATAACTTAACCTACTCCAAGGTTTGCACTGTTTTTCCCTAGTTAACTGAGACCTAACAAATGTTTGTGACCTCATTTAAACTAATAATACTAATTTAAATATAACCCTGTTAAGTTAGTACTAAGACAAGCCTAAAAGTAGTTTTTCTGTCCACTTAAAAAAAAAAAAGACTGGGGAACCAAGTGCTTTCTAGTTGGAGGTTATACCATACTATCTTTGTGGACCCCTAAGGCTCTAGTAGACCCCTAAGGTCATCCACAGCTGAGTCTGTATCTGACAGCCTGCCATGAAGGCTACAGGTCATAAATTCAAGTGTTAAGAGGAGACAGATATTTTTTATTCACTGAATGTGAAGTAGATGAAAACAAACATAAATTAGCACTATTAACAGAATTACACCCCATAATTTTTAGTGTCCATCACAACAATCCCAGTTGTAGTTCTTACCCGAACACAGTGAGTAACAAAGGAGTCAATACAGTCCTTAGCCTGGTGATTATTATATAGGCAGCACCTGTAAGATGATACTCACATCATTAAATGCCAACTATCTGGTTCAGACAAAAGAGGCAGTGATTATTATAGATAATATTAACAGAGAAGGAGGAAAAAAGCAACCAAATACACTCATTACTAAGTTGAAGAACACCAACATTAGATTAAGAAATATTTCACTATCACTGTGTTGTTCACACAGAAAATGTGTGACATTTCCAAATTCTTTTTAGGTCTGTATTTGGACAATTAGAGATGGATGTAATGAGATCAAACTAGGAAGATAAAAGAAAAAGCTAAAAGCCTCACTTCATGAACAAATGACATCCTCATGGAATGTGCTTCTAATAGTAATTACAAACAAAATACTATACAGAATCCCAATTTCTTTCAAGATACATCCCCATTTCCAAGGATTGACTGTGAATACATTCCCTCCAACATCCCATCTCCCAGTCTAATGAAGTGGTTCCCTTCAGTGTTCAGTGTTCTTTAGCTCAGTTAATAGCATCACTTTTCAAGTAATGCCTTCCTTAGTAGTCATAAAAGACCTGCTTCCTGGCTCCGGGGGAGCTACAGAGGCTGAAAAGATAAGATTTTTTTTTTTTTTTTAACCTTTGTGGAAATTTAGTAGCATCTATCTGCACCTAAAGAGATAGTAAAAAGCAGAAGTACTTTGATAGGCGCTAACACCTTTTACTCCTAAGTGTTTGCTTTAGGGAGTAATCTGATGAGAGTTCAAAGAGAAACATAGTCATGATCTTGCAACAGAAAATGACAGGACACCCAGCAGCCAGGTGGAAGAAAAAGCAGACTTGAATGAGGGGGTGGTGAAATGTAAATGATGGAATGTTCTTTAAACTCAAAGTAAGAAAATTATTTAAGGAGACTAAATTAAAGCACACTTTCAAAAAGAAGACATTCTGAGCAATGATTTTTTTTTTCTTTCTTCTCTTTTGGTGGTACTGGAGTTTGAATTCAGACATAAAGCTTGTGAGACAGGCACACTCTCTGGATCTAAAAATCTAAAGATCTAAAAAGAGACTCTCTGGATCTAAAAATAATGGGTCTTCATATTTAAATCAATAGAAAGAAAAAATATTCACTAGTAACCTTCAAGAACGAGAAAGAGCTTCCTTACAACACAGCAAAAATAACAAGGAGAAAATGTCAGAGAATATACAGCAGGTGACCTAGAAGACAAGATAGAGTACCAGAAGTTCTAAAGAGAAAAAAGTACTTGAAGGTGAGGCAAAGTTTGATAAGCAGTAACATGGATAATGACCTGAAGACCTGATACATTAATGACTGAGTTCCAGGTAAAAGTAGGTGAAAATTAGACATGAATACGCTGTAAAACTCCTGAACTTGTAAAGAAAAATTCTATGTCACAGAAGAAAGTTTCAAATCACTTACAAATAACAACAAAATTAGATCACCATCAGATTGTTTTTGCAATGCTAGGGATGAGAACCATGGTCTTATACCTTACACATGCTAGGCAAACACTCTAACCACTGAGACACACCTCCAGTCCAGCATCAGAATCTTATTGTAATACTGTAATTTGATAAACAGTGGAGAGGCTAAACTCCCAAAGGAAATATAGGGCTAATTTGAATGAGTCTTTGGTCACAACACTTTCATGTATGATTCAGAATGTATTATTTTATGTGTGCATTTTGTTTTAAAGCACCTTATTTAATGTGTATTTTTGACTCATTAATACCGTTTTCATGTCCCAGCAGCACTATAACACATCATGGCTGAGTGAAACTTATTTAATACATGTATTTTCTACATACATAAGACACATCACAGCTTTCTTATGTTAAGGAAGGCTAGATAGCATGTCACTATGCTTGGGAGCCATTTTTAAATAGTGAAACCCCATAAAAAAAGTGAAAAATGTGCCACTAAATAGAGTTGTTTACAGTACAGGATCTGAAACAAATGAGAAAGCTGAGATGCTTAGTTGGACCTTAGCAATCCTTGTTCTGCATATATCTGCAAAAATGGTAAAAGCAGTGTTGATTAGGGTTACAAATAAATCCTAGTGAGCAGGACAATTTCCAAATATAGAGTCCATGAACAATGAAGATCAGCTACAGTTATATCTAAATGGAAAATAGTAAGAGGAACAATGTCTAAAGGAGGATTGTTTAAAAGAATGGGTAAAATGCAAATGAAGAGATGGTTCTAGGGACTGAAACCAGGACTTTTCCCAAGATAAACATGTGCTCTACCACTGAGCCACACCCCCAGCTAGATACTACTTCACAGGCATCAGACTTGAAATTAAAAAGTTTCATAATGCCAAAAGTTAGAGTGGGGGAAACAGGCACTCTTTATAGAATACTTGCCAATATACAAATTGGTTCAATTACTCTGGAAAGCAATCTGGCATAATAAAGTGAAGGTGTGCATGTTCTATGATTCAGAATTCTGAATCGTGTGAGACATAGATTCCAAGATGTTCACTACAGAGCTAATTTCAATAATAGTAAATTAGAGACAAATTTCCAGTTGTGGAGAAATGGCAAAATAAACTGCAGTATGTCCAAAGATTCTATTTTAATAAATCAAGTATTTCTGCATGAATCAACTTGGGTAGATATTAAAATTCCAACATGGAAAGAAAAAAATCATATTGTGATAAAATTTATGTCAAGTTTAAAAACATGTAAAATAGGGCTGGTATGGTGGTGCACACCTGTAATCCCAGATGGGCAGGAGGGAGAGGTAGGAAGATTGCAGTCTGATGCTGGCTCTAGGCAGAAACCCACTTGAAAAACAAAGTAAATAGACAAACAAACAATTAAAGGGCTGGGGGCATGGTTCAAGTGGTAGATAGAATGCTTGCCTAGCAAGCACAAAGCCCAGAGTCCAAACCTCAGTGTGGCCAAAAAACACTCCCAACAAACAAGTAAAAATTTTAAAACAAAATAAATTAGAGCACTGTTATGGACACATATATTTGGTGCAAGGGATACAAGTAAGCTTCACTGTCATGATTACATCTAAGACTAGAGTAAGGGGAAAGGATGTAGTAGGAGGAAAATTTGAAATTATAACCAGCAGGTCTCAAAATACAGTCTCAGTTTCCCTGGGTGGCCTTGAGACAATTTCAGAGGGAAACACAAAGTACAATTTAGACCTTACATGTCTTTTGTATTCATTCTCTCACAAGTATACAGCGATACTTCCAGAAGTTCCATGGCATGTGACAACACAGCAGATGGAAAGTAAAAGCAAGAAAGATAATGCAGCTATTTTCTAGTTAAGAAAACACAAAAATGTAAAGCAATGCCACTTTTCTCACCAATTTATATTAGAGACAAACATTTTCCATAAAAAACTGTTTATGTTACTATATAATGAATTTAGTATTATTATTATTCAATGAATTAAAAATATTTTAAAGTACTGCTCTCATTTCTCAAATAGTAGCTATCAATAGATCTGACCAATGTAAACAAAAGCTATTTGGCTCCTTAATTACTTTCCAGACAAAAAGTTTGAGTCCGTGGAGTTTCTATTCTACCTGGGGGAGATAGAGAGAGGGACACTGAAATAAACAATCCAGAAGTCAGTTACATGGCATGTAAAGGAAAACTGTTGTGGAAAAGAGAAATGGAGTAGAAATGGGGGTTGTAATTTTTAAGTAGGGTGGCTAGAGTAGCTGTAACTGAGGTAACAGTGAGCAGACTTGAATTTCAGGTGGTGTCAACCTTGGGGATTTTTGAGGAAAATGTCCCCTGAATAGCAAGCAGGTCAATATATCAAAAACAAAGGAGATGAGGCTAAGTGCAGTAAGGGATGAGGTTATACTGAGAGGGACAGGATAAAGATACAGACCAGCATATACCAAGTCTTGCAGTCTTAATTATAAGGACCACAATCTTTACCATGAACAAAATGGGAAATGCAACCAACAATGCCATACCTAGTTATCTATATCCTCCTAAGGGCAGTCCTTATATGACAGTGGCTAAATTCTCAAGCTCCCTTATCCCTGGCCAGGACAACTCTTAGGTTTGTAACCTATACTGTCCCCAGTTCCCCTACAGTACTGAACCAAAGTTACTTCATTCTTTTTGTTCTATTTTCCTATAACCCTGCTGGCTTTTCCTGGGAAAACACTCTAAAATACATTTACGTCTATCTTGGTCTCAGGGTCTTCTTCCAGGGAATCCAACCAAAAACAGAAAGCTACCAGAGTTTTACATGACATGTGGCATGATTTATTCAACAGACTGTTGGTAAGAACACTAAGAATTAACTTTTAAAAATATGTTTCATACTCTGTCTTCATACATGTTGGTTCATTTGCTAAGAAATAACAACTCACTTCTTACCTCTCCATTGGAAAACTCCTATTTATTTCTTAAAATGCCACTCCAAATGATGATTCTGTCTATGTACCACCCTTTCCAGCCTTTACCCCTGTTTACAGGGTAGTGACTCTCAGACCATAATTTCATTTTAATATGATTGAGTTATTTATATGGAGATTTGATCCTAAACAACTTCTAAACTGTGGTTATTTAGAAAGAACACAAAGAAATTGGATTTTTACAAAAACACACATACTATAAAATGTCTGATAATACTTACTTGGGGGAAAGCACCGGAGGACTGACAAAAGATCGAAGAGCATCTTTCACCATGTCTTGCATGAGATGAGTTCCAAAGACCTTTTTATTATCCACCAGAAATGTGGTCTTAAAACAAATGTTACATATATATATATATATATATATATTAGTAATGCTGCCACAATTATAGTTGTCATTACTGAGACACAAGCATACTACCTATAAATCTTAAAGAATACAAAAGTGATTCAGAGGGAATGATGAGTGAATATCATTGCTGTCTTCCTAATCTTAGGAGGAAAATACTTAACCTTTCATCATATTAAGTATGATGTTAGCTGAGGTTTTTTAATACACCTTTATGAGGATAAAGAAATTCTCTTCTATTCATGGATTTGCATAGCTTCTAATCAAAAATGGATGCTGAATTCTTACATACTCTTCCTGAATCTACTGAAACTTTTGATTGTATGGTTCAACTAATTTTCAAATGTCCCAAAGTTCATCAATCTTACTGACAGTTTCAAAGAACCAGCTTCTGGTTGTGCTAGTTTTTCCTATTTTTTTGTTTGTTTTGTTTTTTACTGACTTCTGCTCTTTATTATTTCCTTTTTTCTGCTTAATTTTGCTCCTTTTTCTTAAAGTGGGAGCTTAAACTACCAATATCAGCTTTCTTTTTTATTAAATGTAAACATTTAATGCTATAAATTTCCAGCTAATAATTGTTTTAGTTGTATCCCACAGATTTTGATGTTATATTTTCATTTAGTTCAAAATGTTTTTAAATTTCCTTAGGACTGTCTTTGATCCATGAGTTATTTAGAAGTATATTGTTTAATTTTCAAGTATTTGGAGTTTTTCCACATATCCCTGTTATTGATTACTACTTTAATTCTAAAATTCTAATTCTGCATGATTTCAATTGTTTCAAAATTATTAAATTTGTCTTATGGCTCAGAATATGATCTTGATGCATATCTGACACTCAAGTCAATACTGGAATTAAAAATGTAACACCAACTGTGGAATATCCTTTAAAAGCATCTGCTTTTTTGCTCATCAATCAACAAAGCAATGTCAATATATATATAATTCAATGTTCAAAGAACTACTTAGATACTAAGTAGCACTTACTTGTAACAGAGATCTTGAAAGAACACATGGTGATTGCTCACTAAATTCACAGAAAAAGTCCTAATCGATATATAGAGAAAAAAAGCAATGTCACGAATAGAATGTAAATAAAACCCGGAAATGTTAGCATATAAAGTGGAAATTTTGGAAATGAAATAATACCAGAGATACAATAGGACATATAAAGGAATTATCTGTATCAAAGGGACAATCTTAAAGGCTAATCTTAAAGCCTTAAAAAAATGTTTTAAAAGAACTAAAAGTAGAATTGTGGACAGCCATATTAAATTTGTACATCATGAAGACAGTATCAAAATGAAAGACCTTTAGTTCTACTTCAAAGAAATAAGCATCAAGCAACCAGGTCAACTGGATTCATACTACTGATCATTGCTGACTTTGGTGAAAGACCAAAAAGTATGGGTTTACATATGGAGAAAAAAAGCTGAAATGTTAAAATCTATACATTGTAGGACAGCAGTTATTTCTCATCTTCATATTTCTTTGTATCTCACAAATTTTAGTTTAAAAAATATTTGGATTAAGGATAGTGATCTGGGTTTGAGAACAGACCTACAGAATTGCTGTAGGCCAGCAGTGAGAACATAAAGAATATAGCCTGAGAGATTTTTCTCCTTGTGAGAAATGGGCATTGCCCAGATGACTGTCACTATGGAAAACATCCTTAGACAGGTAGCACCATTCTCTTCTGAGTCCTTCAGTACAGCTTAAGGATCCTCTTAAGCACAGCATTCATCAATAACTCAGAGTTGGAGTTCAAGATGAATAGCTCCAGTCAAGAAAGGCAATACTAACTGGACTTGGACACCCTTGATCTCTTTATTATGCAATATCCCTAAAATAAGAGGGGGGAAAGTTAAAAGAAGGTAAGAAGAGCAAGAACGAGTAGAAGTAGAAGAAAATGAGGGAAGATGTTCACTTAATTCTCATTTTTTTTAAAGGTTTCTTTGGCCAGGTAGGTGGTTCAAGCCTATAATCATAGCTACTCAGGAGGCAGAGATAGGGAAGATCATGGTTCCAAGATAGCCCCAGGTAGTAAGTTCATGAAACCCCATCTCAACCAATGGCTGGTGTGGCGGCACACATCAGTCATCCCCAGCTATGTGGGGAAGCACAAATAGGAGGGTTTCAGTCCAGGCCAGCACAGGCATAAAGCAAGGCCCTAATTCAAAGAAGGTTGGTGGAGTATCTCAAGTAGTAGAATATCTGCCTAGCAAGTCCAAAGGCCTGAATTCAACCCCTACTATCCTCCTTGAACTACTATCTCTTCTGGCTATCTTGTGACTCTTCACTTTTCTTCATTGTTCTGAACTGTTAAGCACAATGTTGTCAATTCTGTCCTTTTTTAGAGGAAACAAACCTGTACTTTTCATTTATACTTGCTATCTTTATGACCAATCATTCTAGCTCCTTTATTGGCTTCTCTTCTTCATTCCAAATTTTAAGTATGGATGTCCCTTGTCTGTTTTTCTTTCTAACCTTATTCCCCAGCATCATAATCTCCAAATTTTAATGGGTATTCTGACAAAATCTACCAAGTTTCTCTTGTCAATTCACACTTTTTCACAATTGGCTTTTAAATTTTACACTCCTCAAAGTGAATATTCCCCACCAGAAAGATTACCTCCCTTTCTGTATCCCAAAGAAAACACAAGTCTTGTCTATCCAACAGGCCATCCATTAGCTTCAGCCTCAAAACCACTAACTATACCCACATTATCCTTTCCTTGCCTGAACAATGGAAATCCTCCCTTAGTACTAAGGACTGCAAAATTTTCAGGAATATGAACACATTATCCTTTGTCTGCAAAATTTGCAGGAATATGAACACATTATCCATCCTCTGCTACCCTAGATATGAAAATTCTCCTTTCTCTATTGGATCATCCCTATAAACAACTAGTTAGTCAAGAGTTTCCCATCTATCATATGCTCTCACATTTCCCTCTCAACTGCTGTTTTCTCAGCCAAGCTTTCCAAAGGCGGTTGCTATACCCTCCACCTGTACTTAGCCATTATTAACACATGCTAACCTGGCTCTTTCCTAGTGTCAGCACTCTCTCCATCACGAAATTCAGGGGACATTTGGTTAGGACGTTATTTATTTCTTTCATTTGACCTCTTTTATACATAACTTCCTTCTTGAAAATCATTGAATTGACTTTCCTGAGTTTCCTCCTATTTGGCCACTTCTCAGTCAGAGCTATAGGTATAAAGATTAGCTATAAACAATCTTTTCTTCTCAATGTATATTCTTTCTTCCTGGCAATTTTCATACTTCGACTAATACCTATATTGCAAAAACCCCAAGATTGTATCTCTAGCACTAAACTTTAATCTGTATCCTGTTGCCAATATCAGTATTTCTACTTAAATATTTCAAAGACACCTATCTCAATTCACTAAGCCTCTTGATTCTGATCCCTTTGAGAATTATCCTTTCAATGACTAGCATCAGAGTGTTTGACTTGCAAGTCAGAAACCTAGAGATTGTCCTGAGCTCCTTCTCATGTTCCATGTTTAATTCATCATCAATATTTTATCAGTTTTAGCTGATACATAGCTCTACTCAAACAACCTCACATTACCTACCTGCCATTCTTTTACTGCAAGTTATCATTTCTTCCTTGGACTGTAGTAACAACAGTTTCTTAATCTGACTTCCTGTGTTTATTCTGGTTCCCTTCCAAACTTTTCTTTACAATGCAGCCACTACATCTTTTCAAACTGTTAATCCAATTATATTACTAAACAATACCTACTGAAACTTGCAGAGAAAATGTCCAAAAAACTTCACATAATACCTCAGCTATCTACCCTAGTTAGAACCAATGAGAATTCCCTAAGATGCCTGAAATGGGCCATGAACTCCTCAGAGAACTTGTTGAAAATGACTGGCATAATGAAAGACTACTTGGTCCTCAAAATCAGGAGCCCATCAAGAGTCAAGTCAGTGCTGCTGCCTGTTTCATTAAAAACAACAACAAAAAGCTATTTGCTCACCAAGAATAGAACTGGCAAAGAAACAACAAACATTGACAACATATCATCCTATGAGGTATAAAGTAAGAAAATTGGTTGCTTATGCCTTAAAACCTTATAATTAATCTGGTGAACACAGATATATATCCACATAACAACCGGGATCAGAAAAGCAGATGCAGAACAAGAAAAATATTCTAATTCTGGACTTGTCACTGTAGTCACCAACTTTGGTTTACAGGTTCTCTGAACCTTAGTTTCCAAAAGGGACTGCAAAATGAACTATTTTATGGTAAATGATGTTTTCTACTTCAAAAATTCTATAATTCTTAAGGTAGAATCAGGGCAAGCACAACAGAAAGTTTACTAAGGAACAAAGGCTTAAGCTGGGCTTTAATGACAAAGAATTAATGGAAGAAGACAAAGTATTTTAAGAAAGCATAAGTAAAAGTGTAATTCTTACATCTTAAGAGATATAAACTAGATACTTGTCATCTCAAGAGTGACTTGTCATCCTAGGTACATGGCAACTTCAACCAAAAGAAATTTTTTATATAATACACATACCTATGCATATAAACACACACACACATTTAAGAGGCCTTAAAGTTTTGTCATTTTTTTGGTGGTACTAGGATTTGAACCCAGGGCTGAGTACCACTTGAGCCACACCTCCAGTCTATACAAGAGGTTTTGAAGACAAAATCCAGGTTCAAATCACATCCTTAAAACTTGTATGAATTATCTAACTTCTGAACTTCAGCTTCTCAATCTCAAAATGGATGGCATCAAATCTTTATAACGATTAAATATAATGTATTTATGCATGTATGTGTACATACACACAAACATCACTTAATTCTGTATTATCAGAGAAAAAAGGTAAGCAGTATTACTTATTCTTGGGACAGCCAGTCTCTAGCTGTATAAAGTATTCTGTAATTAAATCAGAGCTATATTTCAGAAGATATGTTTATACTTACCAGGATACAATGTAAATTTGTTAAGTTCACAACCTCACAGACAGTTTTTATTCTATCTATTAATCTTGCAAAATAGTTAACCATTTCTTCCCTTTTAATTATTTTTGCATATCGAGGGAAGGTGGGTGGAAGTAACCTCTGGTTAACAAGGGGCTCAAAACCCATCATAATTGGATGATCTGAAAAAAGAGAGAGAGAGAGACAGTGAGATTTCCAGTATTTCTCTGAATCTTTAACTGCAAATGCTACTAAAAAGAAAAATCCTGGTTTCAAAGGCACTTCTAAATTCTAATCACAAAACCCTATAAATGAATTTTATAACTGATAATTAATATATCCAATATACTCTTTTAAAAAAATGAGATTAGTGTATTTACTAACTTCCAAATTGTACTTCCTACCTACATAGTGATGGAGGGTGATTTCTACCTCAAAATAAACTCCAAGATAAGAATGGAATAACATAGGGTCAATACAGCCTCTCAAAACAAGGAAATGCTACAATAAATCATGAGATTGTGAAGAAAAGATGGGAATACAAATAATGTAGGCTTCTTTTCCCTCAGTTACTGAACAACACAATCAACTCAAAGTAGCTACATAGTAATCAAGAATAGCAGAGCAGAGCAGCCCCTAGCAAGCCCTGAATGCATTTGGTACTGAAATATAATTACATAAATCTACAATGTTCCAAAGAAAATATTACAAGAGAACTAAGAGTGAATTCCTTTTCCCAACTAGTAATATCACTTCTTACAAATGCAAAGTTCCAAAAGTAAGAAGTGATTATGAACTTTGAATTCAAAGTTCCCCTGCTGGTCTACAAACAGACTACAACCTAAAACTAAAATACAGTTTCAGATCTCAATGAAAGATAAAATTAAAGCTGAACAAGTACATTATTAAGAATTAAAAACAAAACTGACAGCCAAATTCTAGCAATAAAACTCCAGAGGCATATACTATAACTATTCTTTAGGATTATGCAAAGATACTCCCCAGAGTTCTTAGCCTACTTTCTCTTCTTTATATTAACTTCTCCCCAGCTGACGTTACTTATTTTTATATAAATTCTAAGGTAACTGATAATTCCCAGATCAAAATCTTTAGCCCACAGTCTTCCTTTTTAGCTCCAAATCTAACTGCATAAAGGACATTTTTACCTTGGAAAATCACATCATCTCAAAAAGCACATGTCCAAAAACTATCTTGATATTTCTCCTAATATTCTTATTCCCTTTCTCAGTAAAATGCCTCACTATCCTTACATACCCTAATATAGCAGCTTTATCTCTTCTCACTGCCTCATCTGCTTTATTTAATCAGACAGTGACTCTTAAGGATTCTAACTCCAACTGTCTACTTAATCTATTCCTTCTCTTCAGTCTTAGTCTAAACAAATTGCTCCTTCATTAAATTAATCCTATATACTTCCACCTCAATTATTTTAAAATACAGCATGACTTCCTTCTATTCTAAAACTTCTGGTTGACTCCCTACTCTAAACAAACACATTGTCTAGTAAGGCACTGGAAAGCACTCTACAATTTCCTGCTACTCCTATAGAAAAATGGCGTACTCCAGTGGCAAATTATGCAGTCAGACTGATCCTATGGGAGCTACTTTACAAATGTATCAATTATAGACATGTAAATTTCATTTTGACTGGTAAATTACTGACTTCCTTACCATTCTATTGTTCAGCAAATACCCCTGACCTCTCCTCACTAGATGCCAGTAGCATCCCCACCCCCAACTGTAAAAAGAAATGTGTTCTAGACATTGCCAAATATCCCTAGGAGGCTCCAACAGAGAAACAGGGTCTAGACAAATATAACAATTATAATTCAATATAATATAAAATTTACATTAATATTTAAATTAAACTAATATTTAAATTAATTATGTAAATTAATATATAATTTAAATATAATTATAATTATAATATTAATTATTGATATATAATTTAAATATAAGTATAATTATAATTATAATATTAATTATTAATTAGCCCAGGATATAACAGGAGCACATAACTCGTGGAAAAATTAGGGACAGACATCCTAGTAGTGAAGATTAAGGAAAGCCCTGAAGGATGAGAAATCAGTAAGACAAAGGAGACAATACTAGTCAGGACAAAGTATTCCCAGCATATCCAAAACTTAAGGGACACAAAATATGGCTCCTTTCCTTTTTTCCTTTAGGAGGTGTGATTTTTTCAAGTCCTAATTTCCCCAAACGCAGGAAGTAAAAACAGATGCATATAAGTAGACTAGGGACAAAGTTTCTACACATAAACAGAAGTTCTCTGTACTATCCTCTCCACTCTTCTCACAGACTTAAAATTTTCCCTGCATTTTCCTGAACATTGTTTATGTCAGTGGCTAGAGTGGTTACTAATAGCTATTTTTAAGTCTCAGCTATTTAATCTCACACAAAGGAACTTAACAATCATCCTATACAAGACATCATAAGTTGTCTGAGTAGAAAAGAATTCAAGATGCACTTTCTTAAGAACATCTAATAAAAGATCAAAGCAGTTATTCAGGTTATACACACTATATCTAAACAGGAGGGACACCATACGTACTTGTATGATGTATTTCATAATGTATTATGTACTATGTACGTAAGTAAAAGTATGATGTCAGTCATTAGAATTTGTGCTAGATCACTGGTCTTTATTATAAAAGTTATTACATTATACTAAGTGAAATAAGCCATATACATAAAGACAAGTGTTTTATGATTCCACTTAAATGAGTCACCTAAACATAGAATAGCTGAGGTCAGGGGCTATGGGGAAGAAGGACAAAGTTTGGGAAGATAATAAGGTCCTGGAGATAAATGGTGGTGATAGCTGCAAAAATGTAGATACACTGAGTACCAATGGACCTGTATACTTAAAATAGTTAAAATGGTAAATTTTACCACAATAAAAAAGAAGTTATAAAAAAGATATTTTCTGGGTGCAGTGGCTCATGCCTATAATGTCAGCTACTTAGGAGGCAGAAAGAGGATCATGGTTGTGCAGGCCAGTGCAGGCAAATAGTTAGTGAGACCCTATCTCAAAGAATAGGCTGGTTTAGACATTCCTATCTGTAATCCCAGCTACAAAGGTGTTAGCTGTCTGAGGCTGGCCTGGAAGAAGAATACAAGACCCCATCTGAAAAATAACTAAAGCAGAAAGGGCTGGAGGCATGGCTCAACTGGCAGAGCACTTGCTTAGCAAGCCTAAGGGCCTGAGTTCAAACTCCAGTATTGTCAAAAAAATACCACAGCTCTCTTGTACTGTGTCTGGTTTGCAAACATACTTCAAAAGCACCTAACCAAAATGTTAAACTCAAGGTATGGCCTCAATATTTCAATATTCTACCCTAATCACTGGCCAGAATAACTCATAGTGTACTGTTATGCAAATCTACATATTTTGACATTTTAGTGTGTATTTTCAAATAGATAATAATGTAAATCATAAGGTTTCGAAAGGGTATATAATGAAAATCAGATCTCCTGTCTACTGTGATCCCCAGTTTATCCCTTGAGAACTAACCACTACTCCAAGTTTCTTTCTATTAACCTTGCTGATGTATAGCTGACATATACAAGGTGAACATAAAATGTGTAATTCAATGTTTTGAAAAATATGTAAAACCATGTGAGTACTACCATCAACAAAAGGAACATTTCCACCACCCCAAAAGGTTCTTTGTCTTTTTCCTAATCACTCCCATTTACACAATCATGTATCTTCTGTCTCCACTGATTAATCTTTTCTAGTTTCAAAAGAAATCACACAATTTGTATTATTTCATATCTCACTTCATTCATTCAGCACAGTGTTCCAATACTTTTCCATTATGTTGCATGTATACATTTCATTCCTTTTTACTGATGGAATGTATTTCATTTGCGTGGATCTACCACAATCTGTCCATCCATATCATCCCCTTATTAAACAAAATCAATGTATTTCTAATCTGTTTTGCTTTAAGGTGAACTTTTTCTTTTGCAACTCCCCATACAGGGTCACCTTTTCACTCAGATACTTCTCTCTTCCTGCTCAAGCTGACATCCCATGTCAGTCTGTCCTCTTGGACATTTTTCACCCCACTGTGGCCTGTCTGTGCTTAGGCCCTCTTTAACATGCTTAGATGCTCAAACATTGTACCACAGCACTCCCATACATACGTGCCCTGTTTACCCATCTTGGTCTCTGACAGCCCTGCACACAGCTGCCTCTATGAATCTACCTCAGATCCCAGCACCTTAGGTCAGGCCATGCTAACAATGGCTTTTAATTTCTTTCAAGAACAGAAAGAAAGGAGAAAATCAGATCTTAGTTTTGTAACAATAGGATAGCTATCTTTTGTGTATGTTTCCTCTTTCTTTTGACTTATCTTTCACTAAGAAAATTTTCTTTCATGTATTTTGTAATAATTGAGACATTTTCTTTTATTAATTTTATAAATATCTCTACATTTCTATTTCTTCAAACAGGTATCTATCTTCTTATCCACAACACCCAATGATTTTCATTATCTCACTCCACCACCATTGGCTACCTTTATGTGTTGAAATATACTGGTATCTCTGTAATAGGTTTACTGACTCTAACCAGTATCTTTGTAACACCACAATATAAAAGAAAATCAGTCTTTCCTTCCCCTTCATTTCTTGACTTTGTTATATAATTATTTTTATATTTTCAAGGTTTCTGACATTTATGTTACATTATAAGTAGCAAAATCAAATTCCACATGATTGCTTCCTGAATAAGTTTTTTTGGGTGAGGTATTGTAGTACTCTAGACTATCAGTAAGCCTCAGTGACTTGCAGTTAAGACCCATGTGATAGGCTGATGTGGGCACATAAGAGAGGTTATCTTTTATATCTTTCATTGACAAAGACTATCAGTTAACTAGATTACTATCATCCACACCATGTCCTCTATCTTGCAAGAGAAACAAAGATAGCATATTTGCATGTTTTCTGGTAGAGCCCCACCTCATCCAGTCTTTATAAGTAACTTGCAACTTCCAATATTCTTTCTTTGTTCTGTACTCTTGGAAGTTTAACTATATGACAAGAGAGGGAATTTCTGCTTAAATCTATTTTGGATTCCAAATGCCTCTATACCTGGATATCCATGTAGTTCTCAAGAGTTAGGAATTTTCCA